TGGTTAGGAGAAACCTCATATACAAGGACAGGCTGGGTTCTGACCAGCAGCAGTGGGTCCTTCCTGATCACAAGCTGACCACCAGTCAATGCTGCACACTTTCAACAAAGAAGGCAAGAAATGTCCTTAGCTCCAGGAGGAATAATATTCCCAGCAGATCAAGGGAAGTAACCTTCCTGTCTACTCAGCTCTGGCAAGACAGCATTGGGAGTGCTGAATCCAGTTCTAGGCTCCCCAGTCCAGGACAGACACGGACATAGAGAGAGTCTAGTGAAGTGCCACAAAAATTATTGAGAAGGTCCCAGTGTTCTTACCTGTATGTGTATATATAAATGTGTGCACATATATATAAAAACGTGTGTGTGTACATATATATATATGTGATGGGAGGGAATGAAGAAGAGGAATTCAGACTCTTCTTCATGGTGCCCAGTGACAGGACAAATGTCAATGGCCATAAATACATATAGAAAATTCCTTTTAGACATAACAAAAAGCTTTTTCACCATGAGGGCTTTGGAGCATTGGCACACCTTGGTCAGAAAGGTTGTGCAGTCTTCAACCTTGGAGATATTCAAAACCCAAAACCCAGGCAAAGCTCTTAATAAATATCTTTAGTTAACCCCGCTTTGAGCAAAAAAGTTGGACTAGACCATACTCAAAATTCCCTTCCAACCTCAGTGATTCTGTGACTGAAAAGATAAACACCGCATACTCATTTTCAGAACTAGGAAATTTTCATGTGATGTAAAGCACAAAGAGATGAAGGTGACTTCCATATTGCTCTTACTTAGAGAATACTCATAAACGTTTGCTTTGATAAACTATTTTAAATCTCAGTATTACCTATATATACTGTGTTGCAACTACTCTTGTTTTAGCCCATCCAATTTTCAGTTTGTTTTGAACTTCAGAAGAGAACATTCTGCTTATTTCAGACCTGCTCAGAGAAGTATATATCACTATTATCAGGGAACTCTATGAAAATAAAGAAATAGTCCTGTGGCTAAAAAGAGATTGTATGTATTTTCCAACAAACACCCTTATAAGCTTGCCTTGCAGTTAAACTGCTATAGCAAACAGTAATAGTCTATTCACATCTATTATAAAAGGAGTATCACCTGCGGTTTTATTGACTGTCAGAAAACAGGTCTCATTTTGTGAAACAATAAAAATCAAATTTAGTGTAAAATCTCCCAAGGTTGTAGCCTGTAACCTTGCAACATCAGAAATGACAGCAGTCAGATTTTCTTTTTTTTTTTCTTTTTGCCTTTTTTATTTCATACTCCAAAAGAAACTAGGGATTATATTCCAGAGCAGGGAGTGTTTCACCCATCAACATACTATCATCCAGAGATACAGCAAAGGTATCAGAAAATGCCTTCAATTTGTGTCTTTTCTGGATAAGAAGCCATGAGAGACTTTTCAGAGGTAAAATACCTGATAGGAGGGAGGTGACTTTCAGCTCTGCCCGTCTGTTGCAGGAAACACAAGAGTAAACTCTGCAGTCTTAGAAAAGAGGCAGCTTCTTCCAGCCAGGTCCTTTCCCTCAGCACTTTGAAAAGGAGTTGTCCATGGACTATATGGGATAACGAATACATTAGGTACCTATATCCAGTTTCAGTGACTGTATCATTCTTCACTTTTTGGGCAGAGGCTAAACTCACACTGAGATCATGCTCTTCAGGAGTCTTCATTAAGACAACTTTAAAAATGTGCTGCTCACCTTTGCCTTCAAACTCCAGTTTTCACTGAAGAGAAATTCATGTGGATAGGCTGGATGGAGATGGGCCTTTCTATCAGTCTTTCTGGGTATCCTGACTCAGTTGCCTGATGGCAATATCTGAAAGTATTTTTCAATGTTTAAAGAGAAGAAACCATAGAATAAATCTTAGGCTGTACCAATACACAAGCATGTGAACCAGAATGTATTTGCCAGCTTTTTTTTGTTGAAGACATTTTCTTCTGAGAAACAAAGGATTCTGAAAGATTTAAAAAAATAGCCTGTACTCAGACATCTAAGTGGCCTAATATTTCACCCTAAGTACTTGGTAGCTCCATTCATTTCAACTCTCAACTTTACATGTGTGCTGAAGTTACATAAAAGCTCCCTAAAATTCTGAAGTAAACCACATTCAGTAAGGCACATTAGTAGATTATTTTCTGGTATCATACGTAGGCACGCTTCAAGGACCTTTTCAAAATAGGAAATTGCATGCATCATGTAAGAAAGAAAGTTACATTTAAAAAAAATGGGTTGTATTTACATTGCTGATCTACTGCTTTGTGTTTTTAAAGAGACTGAGAATCTTATCAGTAAAGGAAGGATTACTTAAAAAAAGCCAACTCAGAATCAAACATTTAACAAATAGCTAACTTGATTTGTTAACAAATAATGTACCTGAAGTTAGACTAACACTGACATTTGGAATAGGCTTCACAGACTTCACACTGCTGATTGGAAGATAGGAATTTGTACATGAAAACATACACACAAAACATTCCCAGGCTTCTGTAAGCAAGCTTTTGTTTCCACCAGTCCTGACTCAAACACAGGTGAAGGAACAACAGGGGAATAAAAATTCAGACTCCCCATATGCTTTCCTTCAGTGTCCATTCTGGAACAGGAATAAGCCTACTTTTCCCTCACCCAACACAGTGTTGGACTCAGAACATTTTAAGGTGCAGTAGAAGTTTGACTCTGAATTAACAGTTTAAATATGGGTTGGCGATTTAAACATGCAGCTAAGGTCACTTAGATATTCCAAAAATGCCCATCAGGAGGTCTTTCCTGTGTGCTTTTCAGAGCAGGAATATTCCACTGCAGGTCAAGCCCCAGTAAGAGTTGCAAGGGACCTCGACCAGGAAACCAAATGAAAATAACTTGAAGATACACTCACTTGGTTCAAGCTGCGGGTAAAGGCTATTCAATTTCAGGTCTGTCCAATTATCAGTTTGGGTATTCTTTTTCAGCCCAGCATGAGTTCAGATTTGAGTCTCAGTCAAGTAAATAGCTTCCTCAAAGAGCAGCAGAACAAGGTATCTTCATTAAAACTTAGCTAGATAGTTTGACTGCTTGGCAAGAAAAAAAATGAAAGCGAGGAAAGTAAATGAGGAGCTCAGTCTAAGAGCTCACTTTCATCTAGCCAATGTAATGTAAATCTTTTCTATTGTGCACTTTAAGATGTAAATTGGATTCAAGTTGATGTCCACCTGTCTTGAACCAGCAGGGATATCTTCCTGCCTCTATCAAAGCATCTTTCTGCCAATTATTGCTTGCTGTGACAGTTGGAGATTTTTCATGTATGTGCAGACAAACTCATTAATATTAGCTCTTTCACCTTCTGATTCCAAGGAAAAATGTAATTTTGGAAACTATCAGGACTCAAGTGATCTGTATCATCTAATTGCAACCTAAAAGATCTAGATGATTATGAGAAAGAAGGCTTATGTTCTTGGTATTTTCTATTTTTAAAAATTTGCTATTTTTAACAGGAGAAACAATTATGTTAATACAGAAAGATACTTTTATTGTTTACTCACTGGAAAGAGACAGATAGCTCTCTATTCATTAAAGCAGATTTGATTTAATAGCAGCAAGCTGAGATTTTCTGATTCATTTAAGTAAATTCTCTGCCACTCCACAGAAAAAAATAGACATTCATTAGAAAAACTTTACAGAGCTCACATACTAGAATTCATTGCATCATTAAAAAAAGTTCAGATCAAGTTGCTGCAATCTCTGAGTTGTTTAAAAACCCAAACTTTCATTTCAGTGATCACAAAACAAATGATAAAACTACCATTTGTTTAACAGTGAGAAGGAAAAAAGGAAACTTTTCTTCTTCTTTTTTTTGTGGGCTTAGGGAATTTTGCAGCAGTTCAGCTTTAAAAGTCGCACTTATTTTTCATTTCTCCACAGGTTAAATCATTCTTTTGAAAAATCTTGGTATGAGTGTCATTTGTGGCCAATTTTTGGCTAATGTTCTGTGTCTGACTGAAGGACTAGGGATGGGCACAAGACACAACTTTAGCTACTAAGGTCTCATACACAGTTTTCAGGGTCTAGAATGCCTCTGGGTTTACACCATGATGAGTGGTACATACATGTTTATTTAAGGAGAGAAGTGATTTAGAAAACGTCCTCAGAAAGTACAGAACTTCCCCCTTGGCCTTGCAATTCAAATAGTGCAATATGATACCCCCAAAATATTTGGAAACAGCAGACAACACACAAAACATGCCACAGCATGTAGAGTGATCTTTCTACCCTCTTTATATTTGGGTTGCTCACACTCGTGGTCTTTTGGGTTTTTTTACATTGTTTATGCTTGGGGTGTTGGGGTTTCGGTTTCAGAACATGTTTTTCTCTCTCAAAGCATAAAAAAATGGCTACCAGATCACTAGAAAAAAATACTGTAGATAATTTTTTGTGAAGATGAAAATTTACCCATAATGACATTGCCAAGCATATCAGGCACATTTCAGGTTCCAGGCACGTCTTGCCACCCACCACATGCCCCCTTGTCATAGCATCTGGACCTTGCTCCTTAGAGTACTTCCGTAGTTTCTTTCTCACCATGGACTTCCACTAGATCATGAAATAAAAGTTCTCTGCAAAACATTAAGCATGATGGAAGGAAGCCTTGGTGTCTCAGGAAGAGTCACTGGCAGATGTGCCTCTCCACAGAGGAGCAGTACCACCCACAGGTCATACCTGGAGTTGGGAACCAGGTTCAGAAGAATCAAAAGCAGGGACAGACCACTGTAGAGGAGCATGCAAACAGAAAACAAAATAGGAGTGATCCAGGAACCACCACTTCTCCGTCTCTAAGGATCTGGACAGCCTAGTTTCTTGGACCGTATTATCAACTACATTATCAATTGCAGCATGCTCATGTGGAGGCTATACCCAGGGCAGGACTATTCTGTAAATGAACTCATTCACTGTGTAACAGGGACTTACTAGGAGCCATCATAACATGGACAGATACAAAGCATCTTATACAGTAGAAGTTAGGTAATTTGAAAGTTGTTAAGATGTGAAACAGGCATTTTTCCTTATGTATCATATTTGTTCTCAGATTCATGACCTTTCCTTGAAAAATATGTGCTAAATAAAGAAAATGAAATTAAATCTAACTGAACTAAGCCTTTCCTTCTACACTAACAAAACAGTTACACAGCTCATCTACAGTTATATACTGTACTATCTGCATTAGACTCCTTCAGTGACCATATAATATTATTTTTAGTTATCTAAACTCTGGTAGTTACGTCTTCTTTCACTCAGACAGAATGGAAAAATACACACTAATCCTCTGTAAAAGGGAGGTCAAATTAAAAGGGTTAATTTGAAGACAGGGGAGAGATACTCAAGATTAAAGAACAATCACGAACACCTTCAATATAAGGAAGTCATTTGAAACCATCCTCCAGAAAGGCTGAGTGGGAAGCTCTAGGGCAGAAGATTAGAGATCAAAGAAAATTCTCCTGAGTATCATCGCACAGTGCTCCAGATCCAGCAAAGCACTGAGGCATATACTAGATACAGTAGAGGAACTGTAAATTTTAACCAAGGACCAAGCTTTTATAAAGAAAGGAGAAATAATTAAAAGTTTTTGTTTCTAAGACAGGTGTTGGCATAGAAAAATTAAATTATTTTTCTCATCTGAAACATTCTCTACATTCTTACAAAACAGATTATAATTCTGTCTCCCTCTCCATACTTTGTCTTTCAGAGGCCATTTACTCTAAGCTTTGTAACACAGTATAGTTTTTTCAAAGCAGAGCAAAGCTAGATCTCTACAGCAGAACAAAAAAGAGACAAAAATATATTAAGCTCTAAAGTCTTTAAGTATATATCCATATACGTATGTCTTTAGTGTACATGTATGCATATGTATATATAAATATACATACATACAAAGGTATAGTTATATACAGTTATGATATGGCTGTATAGATATGCGTGTGCATAAAATGATAAAAAATTATAAAACAGAACAATTAAATATTTTACCAGTATATTCTGCATCTCACAGAAACTGAAAATGCAAAACATCTTCATGTAGGAATGCTGCACCCTGGCAAGACAAGCTTGAGAGGGGGGACTCAGCTAGGACAAGAGCCTGACATACGTAAGTGCTCCTCATGGCAACAAGCTACATTCATGCTGCTGCTGCCAGAGCAACCTGATCATCTGTGTCACAGACATTAGGAAGGGTTTGGTTGCTTTTTTAATTAAATCCTACAAAGGGATAAAGAATAGCAGCCATAGACTCTTTCACAGTAATTCAGCTGAGACACTCTGCCTCTTCCTGTGTTTTTTCTGGTAGTGCGCAGAGAATACAGGGTAAAATCTTCTTGCCAAAAATTGCCAGACCATTTAAAACACCAGTCTATTTATTCTGGTTTCTTTCAGTTTTCATATTTTGTTATTTCACAGCAAGTAGTCCTAAGGGATTTGGTAGAACATCCACATCCTTCTAAAAGACGATAATGCTGCCATGAGGCAACTATGTGACTGTTTTATATCCTACAGTATAGACAGTCTTATCCTGCGGACATTTTTAGCTTAGTTTTCACAATGAGGGTGTTATATTTGCTCTTTGCTGCTGCAGACTTGAGATTTTTGACTCAGTAGTAGTTCGGAGCATGTAAAGCTTTTGCCAAGAACAAACAAAGGATCATGGAGGGTGCAAGGATTACAGTCCATAAATGCTATAAGTGTTCTGAGTACAGTTTACTGATGGTTAGACAAGATTTCCCCCTTGTAAACTGCACTATGGCTACTGAGCAACCTAATTGCCACTAAGAATAAAACAATATTCCTTGTCAGTATCCACTGCTTTTGTGAGCACAAAGTAAACTTGAAATGAAGGTCAATTAACATTAATAACGTTTCCAAGTCAAATTTGTGCAATGGCTGCAACGCAGCTTGAGCCAAGGCATTTTAGGAATGTCTGAAGATCACTACTGGAACAAGCAGAATACTCATTTTTCACTCTTCTTTTTAATCCCAAGGATCCCAAGCAAAAGTCCTCAGAAAGCCCTTCATTAGTTGTTCTCCTGACAGGCAGAATAAGTTTGGATTTTGATTGGCTCTCAAAGTTCTTTATTTTAATCCTTTCTGACATTTTGCCTAATAAATGATTGATAAAAAAATGATTCTTTTAAGGCCAGTCACTGTTGCTTCTTACCTTTGTTCAAAAACTTCCAGTAATATACTAACATTTCTTTTATTTATCCCACTTACTCAAGCATGCTACCAAACTTATCTATGTAAAGGGGTGTGTGGGGGTCTATATGTTTTGAGAAGCATATGCTGTTGGATCAGTGCTGACACTTAACTATAAAATGTATACAGAAAGCCATACAGTAGTAGGATGTAGTGAAAAAGTGGTATAGTGTCCAAATGGTTAAGGCATTGGGTTTTTAAGGTGACAGCTGAAGAATACATACACAGAAAATTGCAGGTTACTTTTCTCAAAAGAGTGAAGGGCTGAGTCAGTCATGAAAGGATCTGAGGATCTGGCATTAGGGACCCTCATGTCCTTGAAACCATAAGATTAGACCACTGTGTTGCTCCTTGGAGCAGAAAAGAGACTAAATAGTGAAGCGACCGTTCCAACCATCAGCACATCTTTGCCTAGAAAAGGAAAACATATCAACCCACTGAGTAAAATTTCTCTGAATAAAAACTAAGAAATATTTTAAAAGTAAAAAAGGCAATCGTAGACTTACATAATTTGGAGTGGAAGAATCCTCCTGAGGTTTCCTGGTCCTTCCCTCAGCCAAAAGAGGTCCAAACTCAGAGATAAACTGAGATGCTCAGGCTCTTGGTCATAAGCAGCCTTGTACAATTGCAACAGATTGCAGTAGTGCAAAGATTACTGTGAAAGATCATATTTTCCTATGCAATGTAACTGAAGGAATTTCTCGTGCTGAAATCATTTCTGATTGAGAACAAGTTGGGAGTACATTGGCTGCATAGCAGAACTACAGAAAACAGGCAATAGGATTGCTATCGGTTGTATTGCTGTAACACCTTTTGATACTTTTCATGGGACATCCCAAGAACAATCATAGTATAAAAACTTAATCCCTGTCCCACAGAGCCTAACGTCTGAGTATTAGACAAAATACAGCACGTCAGTATGGACAGATCTAGGGAAACAACAGTGAGACAGAGTATTGGCATCATGACAGGCAAGAATCACAGCGAATTGGGAGTTTGTCCTGTTGTTGATCTTTTTCTTGGTAGATATCAGTGCATCTTCTACTTTTTACAATAGATTTGAGCAAAGACACTGATTTGCACAGGTTTATAAAGTGCCCTTCTTACAGGCATCCCAACAAAGTTTTTCTTTCAAGGACTCTAGAAATATTTGAAGGATGTTTCTCACTGAACAAAATTTTCCGTTATTTAAAAAAAAAAAAAAAGCAAGACCAGTATTTTTGTACACCTTATTCTAGAATCTGAGTTATTTATGTAAGAAAATGATTAAAGCCTCCCTGTCCAAAACATGAAAATTACATCTTTGATGTACCTTTCTTATTTCTATGCATGTTTGCTCATACTATCACAAAAAGAGTTTCCCTCTGTCAGCTGGTCTGTAGTCAAGACTAGTTCAGGGGGGAAGTAGGTAAGTGATAGATGGAGTGGTCACAAATTCATTAGTTTTGAGACAGCTTCTCCTTTTATAAGTCATGACATCAGCTGCGAACACCTCAATTTCATCAGAATCAAATTGGCTAACTGGAAAAGAGAAAAATGAAATCAGTTTTTAGTTTTTCTCTAGCGATGACTCTTAGTCATGCTTTGAGATTTTAGAGGAGCTTTCAATAGGAGTTTATGCTGCAGCTTCTGAAAGGACCACTCCACAGACCTGTGGTTAATGATCTTTGTACTGGATCTTCACCATGTACCTTGATTTTTAGAGTGATGAGACAGTAAAATCGGAAGACTCTCTGGGCAGTGCACTCTTCTGAAAATTGAACTACCCGATTGAGAGTCCTGTAAGAACAAGGAATTTGTTGCAGAACCTGTCACTGTAGCTGAGGGACTCTCTCAGCATTCCTGATTGCTGTTATGTTACCAGGTTCAAATATGGCATAAAAGCTACATACACAAACCAGATGAGAGCTGTTGCAAACTACAGAAGAGGCCACATCCAGAAAACTCCAAAGTAACAACTGATTTTCTCAAGCAGTATATCTAAATATAACAAAGAGAACGCTCTTAAAAGATAAAAATAAAAACTAAAAAGATAAATTCTTATAAGACACATGAAGCAAAATGTTGGCTTTATTAATAAATAAAAAAACTTCTTCCAAGGTGATGTGTTCAGTTTTAGTAGAATACTACAATAAAAACATAAACCAATTGGCAGGACTCCAATAGCAATGTCTGAAAAACATTTCTTATTAAAAAAAGAAAAAAAAAAAAGCTAAATTGAAATTCTTCAAGTTTGTAGGGTGAAACACAAAGCAAGTTTACAACAACAGCTTTTCATTCTTAATAAAGTAACTGCAAAGGAAGGGGATGACTTAATCTCCATATCTGGGAAAAACACATCAAGAACAAGTACATTTATTCTGCAAATACAAAAAGAAAAGAGCTTTTAAAGTTCAGAATAATAATATTTGGAACATAGCTAGCAATGGAAAACTGAATTTTCAGTCACTGAAGGCCCAAGAACAGTTTAGACATATCAGTAATTGGTTATGTATAGCTGATCCTGTCTAATAGGATGAGCTACAAGACTTTCTAAGGTCACCTCAAACCTTTGAATCTTGTGATTTTGATCAGTATTTTGAGTTTGTTTCAGGCATAAATTTTTGGTTACCAGAAGTTACTTTCCCAACTTCCAGTTAAAATTGATCTTTGAGTAGTCCAAAGATACTTTCTACTGTCAATCATACAACTCAGCACGACCACAATTTTACCTTTAAGAAACATATCATGCTGAATTCTACATTTAGTTACTGTCCTACTTTCAAAGTTAGTCTAATGCTTGTTGTTTACAGTTTTCTGTTTCTGCAGGTTAAGGTTACATTGATTTTAATTCACATTTGAGGTTGGAGCTTTTTCCTTACAGAACTAAAACCCCTTGGTTTACCAGCTTGATTGCCAAGTGGAGTTCTCAATTTGTATTTACCTGCAGTAACAGCATTATTTTAAAATACAGGACAAGGATTTTAAGAAACTGCAACCATTAGTTGCTAAAAGACACCTTACATATGACTTTGTCCATCGCATTACTAGACAAGTTCTTCTATTGAAAGAGCTACTACTACTGATACAAACAATGCTCTTGATTGCTTTTTTACTTTATGATAAAAAATGGCTTTAGAAAGTTTTATGGAGTTGAGAAACTGGATTTTAAGAAACTGAGAGCTTTTTTAGACTAAAAGTAACTGCATAACTCCCTTGCAATATCCTCCATAGGCCCTATTTACCATAAGTAACTATCTCCCTGGTACTTTCTGACAGACTTAGGCCCTTTGAAACTGCATCATATTACAGGAAAAGGGAATAAAGTTGAGTCTTTAGAGTACTCTGTAGTTGAAAGTTGCAACTAAATGTTGCAAGTCCTACAGTATTTATCACTAAGTACAACTAACATGATGTTTCTGGAGCAAGCAAGTTAGTTCTGTGCAGAGGACCAGTTTGTGCTGGTGTCAACCAGAGGGTTGTTTTAAAAATTCTTTGTGCCTGGACCTATTACTTACATGTGTCTTATTGGGGTTCAAGGGAAGAAAACAAACTTGCTAACAAATTAAGCTGTACTACTTCAGAGTTATTTGGCAATTCAACAAATAGTTTTGTTGAATAAATTTTGTAGGGTTCCATTTAAAATTCATGAAATTCATCTTTCTGACTGAAAGGTACAGCCCCTAAATCATTCCTTACACATGGGATACCTAGCTGAAAGCTCATCGCTTCTGCAGAGTTAAATTACGTTAGAGGGAAGCACAGAGTTGTCCATGTTATGAAGTACTCTGAAATAAAATGTTCTCACTTCCTGTTGTTGACCTTCTCTCACTGTATTCACACAAATGGGATTTTTAAATTTGCAGGAAATTAGACTTGAGAAATCCACTTAATTAGAAGGGATAAAAGTGACTGAATTATACTGCCATTTTGTTGTTAGAAGAAAGCTTTATTTAACTGAGAAATGGGGAAGAAATGTAATAACACATTTGACATCGATGTATAGACCTAGAACTGTTTTAAAATGAGATCTTTTTAATAAGCCAACAGGTTCAGTTGCAATAAAATACTAGCCTATTACTGTTAATGTAGAACTGGCATAATTTAAAATAATAATTAATTATATAATAATTTAAATAATAATTATTTAAATAATTTATATAAGCAATCAAACTTGATATGCTAATGTAGTAAATATTTTAGAATTCATTTCAGAAATTCTGGGGGCATTAATATGTAAGTAAAATAAGAGATAAAGGTGGGTACTTGTGCCTCTTTGGAAATTTTTTTCAGGGACAAGCTTTAAACCTTTCTCTGCTATTTGCCAGCCATGTAATACTCTATATTCTTATAGCTCTGTATGGTATCTGTGATTATGCTGATGTAAACCCATACCTATGTCAAGAAGAGAGCAAAATGAAATTCTAAATTTGCATGGAATATTTTGTATTAAATAAATGAAAGGGTTATTTCAGCAAAATAAATTAATTGTAAAAACTATTCAAAGCAATCTACAGTAACCTAGTATTTGGGCTTTGTTTTGCTTTATTTCCTGTTTGGCAACCAGGTGGAAAAATGTGTTAGCTGCACAGGTCAACCTGGTGACAATAATTCTCTGTAGTCACAGGAAAAGGAAATTAAAATTAAAATTCCAGTTCTGTTCTAGTGCACCCACAATTCCTCTTTGCACAGCAATGCAAGAAGTAGTCCATCTAAGCAGTACAGCATGGGAAAATGAAGGTATTCATGGTAAGGAACAATGCAGACTTTTTTCTTTTACACAATTTTCTGTGACTTATCAGCTCCTATGTCTAGCTGCTGCTTGGCTATGGCAGAGACTGAAACACCAGGTAACATCAGCAAGTCAGATACACTTCTTTGCCATACCACTAGCTAAATTCCTGACAGCTTCCATTTTCCTAAATACAGATGTTTTAGAAAAAGAATAAAGAAACAATTATATTTTTTCTTTAGACTCACATTTTATCTCTTCTGCCCTGCCTTTGATAGGTTATTTTATTCTTCTGATTATCTGATGCTTAATCCTGATATAAACACCATTCAGTGAGAAGCAACTATTTCCAATTTCCAAGAATACCTCTTTCTAATCTACGCTGCTAGACAAAATTTAGTCTTTTTAGATAATTTCAATTCAAAAGAGAAATTGGTCTAAGATATTGAATGCAACAGCATTTGTACTTCCCCCTTCCCACACCTCAAAAAATTACAATAGCCCACCTTCTTAAGCATAGCAGACATTCATCTAGAAGAGACTGTTTTCTTGCTCACAGCTATGAGCTTGTTTTAGCCAGCATCAATCAAAGTAATGAAGAGTGATAAATGACATATTTTGAGATGCTCTTCTTAGTGTTTTCATGTGCTGCTTTTACCAACTTGGCCCACTCTTTTCAAGCAACACCTGTCAAAGCCCATTGTCAGGAGTTCTCTATTCCTGAGCAACTTGATATTCCCCTTTCATTTTTAGTAAGATGAGAAGGAAGTACTTGATGGACTATTACAGCTATATTAAATGAAGACCGGCACTTAAAGCTCCAAGCTCTGCACCATTAGAATGTAAACTAGCTGTGGGAAATTGTCTCTCTGCAGTAACAGTTCCCATATTTATCACACAGTTTGGATACATCATTCCAGCACATCTGATTCCATCTCTGAAGAGAAAGAGACTGTTATCACCTATGGGGGAGTTTAAGCACCACTTTAAATAGTGGGGACAGTTTAACTGCTTGCAAGAAATCTGAAGAGGGACTTTTTACAAGGACATATAGGGGTAGGACAAGGGGGAATGACTTTAAGCTGAAAGAAGGGAGATTTAGCTTAGATGATAGGAAAAAAAATCTTCACTATGAGGTTGCACAGGTTGCCCACAGAAGTTGTGGCTCCCCCATCCCTGGCAGTGTTCAATGCCAGGTTGAATGGGGCTTTGAGCAACCTGGTCTAGTGGAAGGCATCCCTGCCCCTGGCATGGGCGTTGGAACTGGATGGTCTTTAAAGTTCCCTCAAACCCAAGCCATTCTATGATTACATTGGTGCCCTGCTTGCTGATACCACGCTGGGTATCCAGAGAAGGGTAAAAACAGCCATAGCACCACCAGCCCTACATGAAGTATCCGGATTGCACTGATTTCCCAGTTAATTCTTCTGGGAAGAAAAGTACACCCAGCACTGTTAGAATAAACCACTAATTTTTTCAAGGAAGGAGAACTATGAACCAAACCCCCAACCAAAACACAGCCACCAAAGTACCACCCAACAATGAACTCTCATATAATGACCAGAAGTACAGTCTCTTCACTGATAGTTTCTGTAGACTCCAAACAACAGAGCCACAAGAGAACAGGAAAACAGAGGGCCAATCAGTGTGCCAAGGGAAACAGTTGCAGTCCCAGCTGCAACTAGAGACTCAGACTGGGAGCATAACAGAGAATTTGGTTTAGTTCATCTATGTATGATGTGTAGTGCCAACATATGCTGATCATCTGCAAGTTCCTGGAAAATGATCATGGGAAGAACTTATATTTCCTGTGCAAGCTTTAAGATTTCCTTAATCATAGCCTTCTCTGCTAGATCATCTGCCACCCTTTTATCCATTTACACAATTTGTCAAGACTTTTTGGCAATCCTGGCCAATGACTTGGTTTTTGACCACCTGGAAGAGTGGAACTAGCTGCAGACTTGCAGGTTTCATAGTGCAGTGGTTTCTTCAGATCACTGAAGCTGAATGAAGCTTTAACCATCATTAGTCTCTAGGGGACATGACAGCTGAATTGATCTTGAAAAGTGTCCATTAGGCCTTGTGTTTTTATTCATATCTTTTAAGCTGCAAAAGTATTCTTTTTTTTCTCTAGTCCTGTGGCAACTTTATATTTTAACAGTAAAAGACTGATAAGAAAATACATATGAAGTATGTCTGCTGGATTTCTTTTATTAGCATGCCTATTGATGCACTCAGAGAATATTCACTGTGCCATTTTAAGAAATTCTGGCATGCCCGCATTGGGACTGCTAAGCTGAGTTCTGGTCTCTGC